ATTAGTATGCTTGAAGACAATACAATAAAAGTGACCTTAAATCCCTGAGACATTCAAGCCAAAAGATTAGCAAGCCCCTGCTGAAACGTTTTCCCACAGGCTCAGCTTCATGTGAAATCTGAAGGTGTAATCACCAAGGGGACATTGTGGCTCGGTAACTGATAGAGGGTGTGGTCTTGTCTTTGCAGGGAGACTCGGGCGGGCCGCTGGTGTGCAGGGGCCGGGTGTACGGCATGGTTTCATGGGGCAACGGCTGCGGCGACGCTCAGTTTCCAGGCGTGTACACCGCTGTGTCCAGGTTCCGCCGCTGGATAGATCAAACCATCTACGGGCCACACCTGCGCTGTTTCGGATACAGATGAAACGCCGAGTGTCATCCTGTCATTGTTATCAGTGTAAAAAGAAATGCATCCTCTGCTCTAAAGTATTAAGGCTTTATTAAAAGTCTGTGTCAACTACTGAATCCCCTGCTGGGCTGTTTACATGCCTCCTACTGTGGTTCACAACCTGTAAGAAATTGCAGATTTATGACAATAAATACCATCGCTTGGATAAGAGTGTGATATTTCTCAGTCACTTCTTAGGGTGTGAGGTAAGCTTTTTTACATTTTGCCACGTTGCTTCAGTGTTTCCTATTGGGATTTATTTTATAGACCAATGCAAAGTGGTAAATAATTATCAAGTGGAAGAAAAAATAAAAACTTCTATAGATATAAGGTAGGTAATAGAGCGGTATCCTGAAAACCAACAGAAAACAGGAAAACTATACAGACAAGTTTTGCATATGCCAAGTTATATAAACTTGGCAATATATTATTATTTGTATATCTATTTTTTCCGGTTTTTAATTATTTTTTTTTTTTTTTTTTTTTTTTTACCTGCACCAGAAACATTTTAATACATCATAGGCACATTTATAGTTTTTTAAATATTTTTTTCTGTAAACTCCGGTAGCCAAGCAAAGAGATTATTTGGTGCCAAATTCACAGTTGCATCTTTGTGCAAAAAAAAAAAAAAAAAAAAAAAAGAAAGCCTTTGTTGAGGAGTTGGAAGAAGAAAGTAATTGCTGACAGAAAGCCACTCACACACACACACGCACGCACGCACGCACGCACGCACGCACGCGCGCACACACACACACACACACACACACACACACACACACACACACACACACACACACAAACATTTTGTAGGTATACAGTTACTAACTGGAGGACAATGTTTTGGTGAAATGTGGCCAAAAATATGACACAAAACCAACACTGAGCACGATCCTAAACGCAGCATCCACAGGGGGAAACGTCTCGGCAGCAGTTTTATGTTGTGTGGATGTTTTTCTGCAGAGACGGGGAATCTGGTGAGAGCTGGATGGGCGATGGATGGAGGTAAGCACACCAGTCTGGAAGGAAACTTGCCAGTTGACACAGAAAGCTTGAGACTGGAAGTCCAAAATCCAACTGAGAATCTGTGACAAACAAAAACTAATGTTCACAGATGTTTGTAGAGAAATTCACCTTTTATTTCCTCTGAAGTCGCAATAGCAGATGAATTTAGGGTTATTTGGAGCCTATAAACTATCACCCAGTTGAGTTGACAACACGGAAGCATTATATAAACCTGCAGACCTGCTTTCCAGACCGTCTTGTTGTTATGAATCTATTTTAAGTCTAAAGGGAGTAGGTGTGCCATAATTGCTCCTTTTTTATGAATAGACAACGTGTGGAAAGTCAGCTCGGCTGCAGGCTCATGTATCGTCTGTCCTTCCATTGTCTGCGTAATTATATTGGGTTTGGTTCTTCTGAGAAAAGACGATTTGCGTCCTTTATCGACTCAAAGAATCTGGGGAGGCCTCCTTTCATCTTGTTCCTTCTGCAGATGTTAGCGCTGCCAGCAGGTGGAGACCTACTTAAAAAAAAAAAAAAGTTCAGTAAGTGTGTAAATAATTTTAATTCTACCAGTTTCATCTTGGTCTGGACGTTTTGTACCTGATGTGTTGGCATATAAATCTTTTAAAGTGGATTATTTCTGCAAAATAAGTAATATGGGATGCCGTCATGATAATGTGTGTGTTTTTTTTTTTGTTTTTTTTTTCATAATGCACAAAGAAGGGAACACAGCGAAACAATGCATCTATTAATGAATGAACCTATGGATGGGTGAATGAATCACAACTTTATTTGGGAGACAAATAAATATTAATTAAAAAAAATAAGATTTTTTGCAATGTCATAGCAATGTGACAACAAACCATATCAGTGAAGGTTTGTAGCTGAGGCTATAAAATATAAATGAAATCAAATACATAAAATAAAAATGTATATCAATGAAGTTGAATCAATCTCTCCTTGAAAAGGAATGCTAATTAAATTACACAACTATTTAACTAATCCTACATATAAAGTGCATTAAGCCTAAACATTTATACATATGTCATTAATATTTCATACTGATCATAGTTTTACAGCTACAATATCTATAAAACAAGGCCGTGCACCACCATTAAACTTCTAACATCACCTATAAATGTTTTACTATTAAACACTCTATTGTTTTTTTTAATAGAACAAGTGCTAAATAACTGTATCCATGTCACATTCACTCACAAATGTGTAGCTCAAATCTACTTTTGGCATTTAAACCTAGATGATTATTGCACAGCATTGAAGCTGAATCATTCTCTCTCCTGCCACACTGGCCGATTCCTCCAGGAGAATCCCAAGGCGTTCCCAGAGCGTCCCAGAAACAATCTCCCTCCGACGTGACCTGGGTCTTTCTCTGGGTCTCCTCCCGGTGGGTGGTCCCTGCTAGCCTGAATCGAATTCATATATGTGTGTGTGTTTTTTTTTTTTTATTAATTCACTCCATATGTTTCTGGGCATGAACTCGTCATTTTTGTCCCTGCTTTGTGTTTTCTAAAACAGAGCTCAGATCATAAGCTTTTCTTACTGTGAGTATCTTTATCGCTCCATACATTATTGGACTGGTTTTAAAATATGCACGGGTGCATAAATGACAACATCCGATGCAAGTCGGGTTAATTATATAACACTGATTCACATCAAACGTGTGAATCAGGAGCTTTGCGAAACAAAACTAAGCTAATACAAATATCTGATGAATCTGAAAGGCATATAGTCAGTTTAGCCCAGTCAGACACAGACACATACTTTAAACTTAAATCCTGTTAAAAGAACAATGCACCCAAGCTCAACTCGGGTTATCAGTTGGAAAAATGTCTTTGCTCTCAGGAAAACATTGTTCAGTGTCACTAACTTTGCTGAAATTCCTCCACTAACATGTTAGATTTTGAAAGTAATAAAAAAAAAACTTGTTTGCTCCTGATATCTGACCTTATGAACCGTTTATTTATGTATGTGCTGCTCCAAATCTATGCGCAATCATACAGTGATTTCTGCCTAAGAATGTGCTTCATTTTCCTAAAAGCTGCCATGCTCTTTGCTTGACGTCCAGCATATTTTATGGGCCTACATAAAACCCAGCATTTTTTGTCATACATCTTTTTCATGATTAGGGCTTAGCACATGATTGTAAAATGGAAGGAAAATTATAAATAGCTGCCAACATGTTTTACATTAAAAAAATCGGATGCATGCGTCATGGATTTGAACCTGTTTCCTCTGATACCTCTAATTAAATCAAGTGCAACCAGTCGTCTTCGGGATGTTGCTGATTTGTAAGCTCACTGATCGGACAAGAAGATCATTATTCAGAGAACCAGACGATAAGCAATCCTTAAAGCTGGAGGAGCTGCAGAGATCCACAGCTCAGGTGGCAGAATCCTTCGGGCCAACTTTTATTGGAGCACTCACTGTAATAGTACAACTAATAAATGTTTAGTAACCGAGAGCATAATTGATCATTATCTCCTTGGGGGGAGGTGAAACTGTTCGTACTCTCAGCGGAAACTCTGTACCCAGATTTGATAATTTTTTGATAGCTTCATCTGGACTCGGGTTTTTATTTTTGCTCGCACACACGTTGCCACAACTCACACATATCCGCAACTGCTGCACCCAAGACAGGTTTGGGCACACGTGATCATGAAAAATATTGATATACAAACAGGATAAGAACCCCAGAGAGTGTGCAGTTTAGCACAAATCCAGAGCTGTGTGTCTGATTCTTCACTTGGTTTCATCCCCCAATTGAAGCCCAGGGCTGAGTGGGGACTGACTCTCTCTGTTCTGTTCCACTTTGTGAATTATTCGGCATTAAAATTCCTTATGGACAACAAATAATATCCTTATTTCTTATGGTTGGATAAATAAACTCTGGGAATAAAAGATCCTGTGAATGCAGACGGAGCAGTGGTGAAACATTTAAAATCTGGGCATTAGCTTGACAAGGGAGAAAAGTTATCTTATATTTACAGCATGCAAATTAAATATTGAATTAAATAATTTAATAAGGCTCTCTTAAAAGACATCAAAGTTTGTGGGCCTTTTTTTCTGTCATAAAGTGTGAACAAGTTTTAAAAATATATACTACTGTAAGCTATATATATATATATATATATATATATATATATATATATATATATATATATATAAATATATATATATATATATATATATATATATATATATATATATATGAGAGAGAAAAAAGGGGCCAAATGTCACATCCCCAGCTTATGAAAATACCGCCATCCTCTGGCGATGAACAAACGTCCTCCTCGAAAAGAAATCACGGCAAAAGATACAAATAAAAAAAAAAAAAATAAAAAATAATAATAATAAAAATGCGCATAAATTCGTGAAATTACGGAGATCTAACAATTTGATGTCTTTCAGACTCGTGCTACTGCAGTAAACAAACAAACATATAGATTCGTCTCGTTTGGTACAGAATTTGTTGACGTCCTTGTTCAGAATAGTCGATGGTTTGATTTCTTTTAGCAGAGAAGGAGCTTTCTGGTTGTCTCCAGCTGGACCCTTCTGGGTTGCACCAGAACCCCCCCCCCTCCCTCCCTGCACACAGCTCCCTCGTCAGGTCTCCCCGGGATCGGTGTTTTGCATCGCTCCTCGATTTGCATTTCTTCCTCAGATTTTCCGTGCGACGGGTTCAGCGGGCGCTTCTTCACGGCTCTTTTTTTTTTAATATACATACATACATACATACGCGCGCCTCCATTTCCACATCCATATACGCGCAAAGAGAGACAGAGAACTAGAGAGAAGGAAACAAAACATACAAACGAAAAACAAAACATCTGGATTTTTAAAATAATGTTGCCGAAGCTCCACGACTGGGGAAACTGAAGAGATTTTTTTACATTCCCTGCTTTATCTTCTCTTCTTTCTGGTGCGTACCAGCGGAGCTAGACACGTGTCCTCGGGGTAAACAGAAAGGGCTAGGTCGTGCCAGCGGATCGCGTTGTTTCTTTCCCTCTGTTGTAGTTGTTGTTTTTTCCCCCCTCCCCTCTCTACTCTGTTTGTTACCGACACACCGGGCTTAAGCTTGGCTACCGCAGATATTGCCTATTTCATCCGTCGCGCCTTGGTAAATAAGACGCCTTTTGGAGATGTCGGAAGTGCTGCCTTTCAACGAAGAGAAAATGAGTCATTATGGAAATGAGGGCGACGAGGAACACCTTTCCTTCACCTGTCGCCTTCAAGACACCAACAACTTCTTCAACGGCTCACAGAACAAGCGTCCGCCGAAACTCGGACAAATTGGCAGGAGCAAGCGAGGTAATTATATAATTAAGACGGTTTTTTTTTTCCCCCCCCCCCCCCATCTTCTACCCCCTGCCAGTTTTCTCCCTATCTCCATTGGCTTACGTGGGGATGTGGTGAATGCGCACTTTTGGCTGATGTTTTGCAGCCATGGTTGAGGATGCAACGACCAGGTTTTTCGTTGTTGTTGTTGTTGTTTTGTTTTGATGTTTTATTTATTTTTTTTACCACATCGATTCAGCTGGGTGCACAAATCTACTGCTTGCAATGCATGTGTGTTGCGTAGATTGTTAAATAATTCGCATTGCAACACAAGTTGGATGCGCACTGCGTTGCCACTTCAATGTTGCTCAACAGAGTTGATCTTAACGCAACCTCTCCCCTTGATGAATGAAAGGTTGGCATGGTTGAGTTTTCTATAAGCTGAGTCTTTCCTGATTATTATTATTATTATATTTTGTATGACCCTTTTTAATTAACAAATTATTTTAATTACAATGCATAAAAAGAAGGTTGCACATAAATGCATGCAGTTACAAGCAAAAACATGGCAGTCAGGGAGGAAGTACACCTGTAGGTCTGCAGTGGAGACACTCACGCATGCACATGTGCAGGAGTGCATCAGACGCAGTTGTTTGAGCGCTGCTGTGCACTAGGTTACTCTCACATGCATGCACATGTCACGTCTTCCTCACACAGCGCTGGGCTTTTCATGCTCTCTTGTTAGTTGATGGTGAATTTTTCAAGACGCCACACCACGACGACCCCCCTGCCACCACCCCAAACCCCACCATCCTCCTCATCCTCATTAACTTTCCCTCCCCTGTCATCCACAGTTGTGATCGAGGATGAGAATGGCGACGAAGCGCTGAAAAACGGAACAGAGAAGACTTCAGGAGAGGCTTAAGGCATCCGAACCCACCGAAAGACAATCCAGTTTTTGTTTTTGTTTTTCTATGGCGATATTTACCAGTCCTAATCCAAAGACACTGTATATAAGCACTTTCTCTCATGTGGCAGCAAGCAAGCACTTCCACGCCCTCCTCCTCTTCCCAGTCTGTCATGACCAGCCGGATGGATGGATGCACAAGCGCTGGCCAGGAGTGGGAGGCGGCAGCAAAAAAAAGAAAAAGGAGAAAAAAAAAAGTGGAGGCCTCCAGGTGGACCCCCCATAACACATTTTACACAAACGCACCCTTGATTTCGCCATAAATCCAGTCACAGGAGAGGAGACTGGGGGAGGAGGCAAGCGGTGGGGGAGCGAGGTGAAGGATGGAGGCGATGCTGTCGAAATGCAGAAATCAGGGACAGGATACAGAGGTAGATCTATTATAATAAACTAAAGCACACACTTCTCCTATATCTTATCAATCAAACCTTTCTGCTCTTCGTTTTTTTTTTTTTTTTTGACTGAGGGCAAACGAATACCAGAGTTTTGTAAATATGGAAAGGGTAGCCCATATTTTCTTGCACAAAGTGAGAACTGGTGAGCTGGTTTTGTTCCGTGTCGACGACTTTAATTTATTCTGGAAACCCTGGGGAATATGTCTTTTTGAAGTGACGTAAAGCCCGAGGGAGGGTTTCGTTCTTTTGTTGTTGTTGTTTTTTTTTGTATGTTGAGAAAAACTGAGCAAATGAGAGTGATGTTGTTTTTCACTTATGGATTCTCGATGTTGCCTGAGTGTTTTTGTTACCATACTTTGCAGCTATAACGAGTCATTTCTAAACAGTGAACTTCCCACCTGTTTGTAAGCTTACCCAGGCTTTCACCTGGATCGATTGATACTGTAACTTGACTGTAAACACCCTATTGATAAAAAAAAACAACTATTTATATTGCATTGTGCATTATTGTGTGCCAAATCTCATGGGTTTACTGAATACCATTTTTTTTTTTTGTTGTTGTAGGTGGTTTTTTTTTTTTTGTGCTTAATACATTTACGCATTGATTTCAGTCGTTTCCCTTCGGTTGCCATTTTTTTAGGGCTCTTTTTGGTAAAAAAAAAAGAAAAAAAAAAGAAAAAAAAAACACTTAAAAGTACCAACTCATGCATGGCGAATATGAATTCATGCATGCATGGCAGCAGTTCTGAAACTCTTGTGTAATCTTGAAGCACCTCGTATACAGCTTTGAATGACAAAGACCTCAAGAAACAGTCTTAATTCTTCGTTGTACTGTACGACTCTCACTGATTTGTACAGTGGCCTAATATCTTGTAATAAAGATTATGATAACGTACTATTTACTGTTAGTGTTGATTGTGGTTTACAATAAGGAATGATGTATTTGATGTTGCTTTTGTTTAAAAAAAAAGGAAGGAAAAACAAAAAAAAAAAACAACAACTTTGAAATCTATAGCAAAAACATGAAAATATAGTTTTGTATCAGAGAGTTAAAGACAGTAGCAGGTAGCCCGGCTTAACTTTTTGGACATGTTGCTTGTACAGTTTCTCCTGTTTGTTATTGTATTGCCTATCTGGCTGCCAAGGAAAGGTGAAGTCAGCATTTTTTTTCCACTGTGAGAAAAGTAGCATCCCTCTCTTTGGAGGGCGATCGGACGTGGAAGAGGCGCAGGACGATGACAGGATAATCCCACGGAGAATCTGAGATGCACACTTTGTCCTGCTGAGACAAAGGCGAGCTCAAACAGTTGCACAACAGACTATGATCTCATTAAGTGCTACAGTTCTGCGAAAAGATTTTTTCTTTTTTTTTTTTGTGGGGATAATGTACAACACTGCTTCCCAATGCAATAAATGTCTGTTTGCTTTAACAAAAAAAAAGCTCCGCTTTCTCTCTTTAATCGAGTCCTCCCTTTAAACCCCACCTCTGCCTGGGATGTCGAGGGCACCCGGGCGTGAGGAACGCTGATGAGACGTGACATTTCCAGCTCTGCCATGGTGACTGAATGATTCATGTTGTGTGACGAGTCTCTGTCAGCGCACGGCATCTTCAACCTGGGCCGCCTGGCTCTCCCGGGGACATGCATGCAAACGCGCACATCCCAGAACTTGCATGTCCATTTCCTTCCCCTCCATCTGCAGGCGAAAGGAACATGTTGTTAGTTCCCATAACCACCACCATCCCTTCTCCCTCCCATCTTGACAGACATGAAAGGGGCTGCCTGAGCCGGGTGCCATGGTAACAGATGCACCTTGCACTCTGTGGTGTAGCGGTGGGTTTCGAATAGTCTTCCCTGAGCCTCAGCTTGATATCATCGCTATCTTTAATGGAATGTTCTTCGCTCTCTTTATCTGTTCGCTAAGCGGCATGACTGCATTATCCCTCCAAAACAGTCCCTTCTTTCAAGATGGCAGTCGACCATGACAGCGCCGGCTTCTCTGGCAGCAAGCTGTCCCCTCACACGGGATCAGAGGTAGCACATTTGGGTAGTAATGGTGTGTTGGCTGTCAGTGTGTTGGAGCTTTGCTGTGCACATGAAGAAGCTGAACGTGTAAAAAGATGTGGCCAGAATTCACGGGTTAACCCAAATCTGTGTAAAAAAAACAAACTGTATGAATAACAGACATGACTTATTCAGATTACTGTAATAAACCAGGAAGGCTAATTTAGTCATTTCCAAAGGAATCAAACAACACACAATGCCTCAAGAAATCAATTAGAAATAATAATAATAAAAACAAATTTCAACCTTTGTCTGATCAATAAAACCACCACACCATCAACGCTGAGAAAAAAAAAGTGTTTATATATTTTTTAAATCTGTTTTTGCTTTGTTGTCACACTAAAGATTAAATACAAACTGCAATTTTCAAATGATGATTTAACTTCAATAAGATTATATGAAAACTAGCCATGATCCACTGCTGAACCGTACAGCGACATTTCCCAGGAAGGACTTCCTTCCTTTTTCATTTCTTTGCATAGGAATACGTGTTAAGTCTAAACAAATACTGAACTCTATGATATTTATAGCCGTAGCTAATTTGCAATGCTCATCCCCAGATGGGCCTTTGACAACATACAGACTGTAAACCAGCATAGCAAAATAAAATGCCAAACATAGCTCCTAAAATTAACTTCAAACAGACCACAATAGCCATCATGAAGCCATCATGGGCCATGACTACAAATCTGNGATAAGCAATCCTTAAAGCTGGAGGAGCTGCAGAGATCCACAGCTCAGGTGGCAGAATCCTTCGGGCCAACTTTTATTGGAGCACTCACTGTAATAGTACAACTAATAAATGTTTAGTAACCGAGAGCATAATTGATCATTATCTCCTTGGGGGGAGGTGAAACTGTTCGTACTCTCAGCGGAAACTCTGTACCCAGATTTGATAATTTTTTGATAGCTTCATCTGGACTCGGGTTTTTATTTTTGCTCGCACACACGTTGCCACAACTCACACATATCCGCAACTGCTGCACCCAAGACAGGTTTGGGCACACGTGATCATGAAAAATATTGATATACAAACAGGATAAGAACCCCAGAGAGTGTGCAGTTTAGCACAAATCCAGAGCTGTGTGTCTGATTCTTCACTTGGTTTCATCCCCCAATTGAAGCCCAGGGCTGAGTGGGGACTGACTCTCTCTGTTCTGTTCCACTTTGTGAATTATTCGGCATTAAAATTCCTTATGGACAACAAATAATATCCTTATTTCTTATGGTTGGATAAATAAACTCTGGGAATAAAAGATCCTGTGAATGCAGACGGAGCAGTGGTGAAACATTTAAAATCTGGGCATTAGCTTGACAAGGGAGAAAAGTTATCTTATATTTACAGCATGCAAATTAAATATTGAATTAAATAATTTAATAAGGCTCTCTTAAAAGACATCAAAGTTTGTGGGCCTTTTTTTCTGTCATAAAGTGTGAACAAGTTTTAAAAATATATACTACTGTAAGCTATATATATATATATATATATATATATATATATATATATATATATATATATATATATATATATATAGCTGAGAGTGCAACAAGGGGCCAAATGTCACATCCCCAGCTTATGAAAATACCGCCATCCTCTGGCGATGAACAAACGTCCTCCTCGAAAAGAAATCACGGCAAAAGATACAAATAAAAAAAAAAAAAATAAAAAATAATAATAATAAAAATGCGCATAAATTCGTGAAATTACGGAGATCTAACAATTTGATGTCTTTCAGACTCGTGCTACTGCAGTAAACAAACAAACATATAGATTCGTCTCGTTTGGTACAGAATTTGTTGACGTCCTTGTTCAGAATAGTCGATGGTTTGATTTCTTTTAGCAGAGAAGGAGCTTTCTGGTTGTCTCCAGCTGGACCCTTCTGGGTTGCACCAGAACCCCCCCCCCTCCCTCCCTGCACACAGCTCCCTCGTCAGGTCTCCCCGGGATCGGTGTTTTGCATCGCTCCTCGATTTGCATTTCTTCCTCAGATTTTCCGTGCGACGGGTTCAGCGGGCGCTTCTTCACGGCTCTTTTTTTTTTAATATACATACATACATACATACGCGCGCCTCCATTTCCACATCCATATACGCGCAAAGAGAGACAGAGAACTAGAGAGAAGGAAACAAAACATACAAACGAAAAACAAAACATCTGGATTTTTAAAATAATGTTGCCGAAGCTCCACGACTGGGGAAACTGAAGAGATTTTTTTACATTCCCTGCTTTATCTTCTCTTCTTTCTGGTGCGTACCAGCGGAGCTAGACACGTGTCCTCGGGGTAAACAGAAAGGGCTAGGTCGTGCCAGCGGATCGCGTTGTTTCTTTCCCTCTGTTGTAGTTGTTGTTTTTTCCCCCCTCCCCTCTCTACTCTGTTTGTTACCGACACACCGGGCTTAAGCTTGGCTACCGCAGATATTGCCTATTTCATCCGTCGCGCCTTGGTAAATAAGACGCCTTTTGGAGATGTCGGAAGTGCTGCCTTTCAACGAAGAGAAAATGAGTCATTATGGAAATGAGGGCGACGAGGAACACCTTTCCTTCACCTGTCGCCTTCAAGACACCAACAACTTCTTCAACGGCTCACAGAACAAGCGTCCGCCGAAACTCGGACAAATTGGCAGGAGCAAGCGAGGTAATTATATAATTAAGACGGTTTTTTTTTTCCCCCCCCCCCCCCATCTTCTACCCCCTGCCAGTTTTCTCCCTATCTCCATTGGCTTACGTGGGGATGTGGTGAATGCGCACTTTTGGCTGATGTTTTGCAGCCATGGTTGAGGATGCAACGACCAGGTTTTTCGTTGTTGTTGTTGTTGTTTTGTTTTGATGTTTTATTTATTTTTTTTACCACATCGATTCAGCTGGGTGCACAAATCTACTGCTTGCAATGCATGTGTGTTGCGTAGATTGTTAAATAATTCGCATTGCAACACAAGTTGGATGCGCACTGCGTTGCCACTTCAATGTTGCTCAACAGAGTTGATCTTAACGCAACCTCTCCCCTTGATGAATGAAAGGTTGGCATGGTTGAGTTTTCTATAAGCTGAGTCTTTCCTGATTATTATTATTATTATATTTTGTATGACCCTTTTTAATTAACAAATTATTTTAATTACAATGCATAAAAAGAAGGTTGCACATAAATG